TGAGGTTGGACACTGGAGATCCCTCAACAGCTACTCCAGCAGGGTGTGGAATCATAAAAGTTCCTGCATCGCCACAGAACAGAGCTCAAGGGTGTTCTGTGGTCTCTCTCTGGCCCAGGCATTGGGTCCTCGCCTTGCAGGAGTACAGCAACCCTACCTGGCCAGGGCTCAAGCTCTCATCACCCACTGAATCCTTCTGAACTTGCTCTCCGCTCACCTCACACCCTGGGGGAAACGCCTTCCTCAGACAGAATAAATCTGAACACCTGACCAGGTCCAAATCTGACCCTGTCCTCTGCAGCCACTCCACTTATCGTTAACCAAACCTGCCTTCCTGCTGTTCCCCAAACGTAGGCAGTGCATCTCAACACACCTCTGTATCTGCAATCCCCCTGCCTCCACACTGCCCATCAGGACAGAGACCACGAAGTCTCAGCCGTGTGGAAGGCACTAAGTGTTGAGTACTGAGGAGAGAGATATGGACACAGGGCAAATGCTAAGTGATTACAACCTGCTGAGTCCAAGGGGCCGAGTGCATACACTCACCATGGTCCAAAGTGATGCTGCCTTGGATCCTGAACCCAGGTGTGTGTGGTGGGGGGCAGTGTCCCTGCTCTGAGGCTGCTCAGTCGACATTTCTCACCCCCCCCCCGTGTGGGTGAAACCTAACACCTTCCCCTTCTTGGCACTGGTCACATCCAGCTGGACTCTGGCTGGCTGGCTGGCACCTGAGCTGGTGGACATGGCTTCCCCTGTCCCACGTGCAGTCAGTGAGGTAAACACAGCCTCTCCATGGAAACCTCCAAGCCAGAAGAGGGTTGGAGGCTGGGGAGACCAACCTCACCCCGGACAAAACCGTGCCACAAGCTCACAGGACCCGGAGGGGCAGGAGCCTGCTCCTAGGCCTTCGGGGGGGCAGCTGACTCCGAGAGGCAGGGCCCTTGAGCTGTGCAGTGATGCGCTCCTCTCCTCCGCGGGCGACCCGCATCTCCCAGGCCTCTTGGGACTTAAGGCAGGGGTTCCGGGACGCCCGAGGGGACCCCATGCAGATCTCCCGGGGCGAGGGGTACCGGGCCGGGCACAGGCCATCCTCCTGCAGGGCCCGATCCCTTACCGCGCGATGGCCCTCACCTGCGCGGGCCAGGCCTGGGGCGCAGGGCCCGTGGGCTCGGCCTGGCGGGCACGACTGCAGAGCCTCCCGGGGCCCCACGGGGCTGGCCTGGGCCGTGGGTGACAATAGAGAGGCGTCCGCAGGGGCGAGTGGCGGCGGCTAGCAACCAACCTGGCGCCTCCTCCGCTGTCCGTCACGCCGGCCCGCCTTTGCAACGCGCGCCGCTCTGGGATTGGCTCTCCGGACGCCCTCTCATCGTCGTGCAGCTCATTGGGCCGCGAGGCTGTCCAGTAAGTTCCGGCGTGGGAGGAGCAGCCTAAAGCAAGGCGAGTGGAGGCTGGACGAGGGGCGGGGCTTACGGAGGCGGAGCCTGGAGGGGCGGGGCTGCAGGAGGAGGTGGAGCCTACAGCCACCCCCACTCCCCCCCCCATCCTCTTGTTGCCGGGCTTCTGGTCAAGCTTCTCAAGGCATCCTGGGTCCCCTCCCAGGCCCGACAGGACCACGAGGTGGTGTCTGTGCCGCCTCTTCCCACTTTTTCCTAACTGCATTAAGGAAGCTTGTGGAGTCTCCGGGTGGCCACACTCGCTGCTAGGTGCACAGTTGTGGGCTCTCCTTCCTTTGCCCAAAGGGCTCGGACGCAGAATCTCAGCTGCCCAGTCCCACAGAAATTAGTTAACTATCAACTTTATGAACTCAAATGCTTTGAAGACAATTATCTGCATATGTTTACTAATTTATACGCTCGCGCGTGTGTTTTTGGGATGGTGGCCCAGAGGCATGCACAAGCTAAAGAAGGGCTCTGCCACTGAACCTCAGCCATTTTTGTTTTAAGAAGGGGTCTAAGGCAGTGGTGGCACACGCCTTTAATTCCAGCTTCGAAAGAGGAGAAGTCATCCTGGTCCACAGAGCGAGGTCCAGGACAGCCAGGACTACACAGAGAAAACCTTTGTCAAAAAACAAACAAGCAAAAAGGATCTCATGTAGCCCAGCGTGGCCTCAAACTCACTATGTAGCTGAAAATGATGTGGGACATCTCCCAAGCCTGGAATTACAGGCAAAGTGCCACCACACCTGGCCTTTTCTCTCTTCCTTCCCCCCTCCCCCTTGTAAGATTTATTGTGTGTAAGTTTTTGCCTGCATGTATGTCTCTGCACCATGTTGAGGGGGCTGGATCCTGGAACTGGAGTTAATGGGTGGTTGTAGGATGGCGTGCCAGGGCTGGGAACAAAAACCTGGGTCCTGTGCGAGATCGGTACGTGCTTTTAAACAGTGACGGCTTTTTTTTTTTTTTTTTTTTTTTTTAATTAACAGAATGCTTTGACTGATGCATATTAAAAGTCACGTGCTTTTGTGGGTCACTCAGAAATAGTCATTCTTCCATCCCCACGCACTCTGTGGAGGCTTAGTTGGTGGTGAGGCACAGGGTCTTCCTACGGCCCCACCGGAAAGCTCCGGGATTCACCGTTGTCCCTCTCCTCAGGATTTCAGCCTGTGGGAACATGCTCCCTCACTCATCTCTAGAATGACCCAGGGCTTGTCCCATGCTTGAGTAAATGTGATGGGAGCAGCTGTAGACGCTCACTGACTGACTTGTATAGACACAGATTTTCACATGTCTGCTGTGAATTCCTACCACAGAAATCAGGGCTATTTAAGAAACTGCCAAGATGTTTTCCAGGCACAGCACAGCCAGTGTCATGTAAGCTCCAGCTGCTGTGTGTGTGTGTGTATGTCCTCAGTTCTTGGAGTGGTTGGGGTCCTGTTCCTTTAGTCGCATTAATAGACAAGCAGTTGCATTTACCTACTCAGATGGTAAAGATTAATGTGTGTGCTTATCTGCCATGCAGTCACCAGATTCCTTCATGTCTGTCCAGATCTTTTATGTACTTTGTAATTTGGGTGGTTTTCTAGAGTTTTATTAAACTATATACACATGAGAGCATGAGAAGTATCTTAGTTTGGGTTCTCTGGAGTCACAGAGCTTATGGAGTGAATCTCTGTATGTGTGTGTGTGTTACACACACACATCTACGTGATTTATTGGAATAATGTACAGGCTGCAGTCCAGCTAATCTAACGATGCTGCTGTGAATGGAAAGTCCAAGAGTCTGGTAGTTGCTCAGTCCCGGGAGGCTGGGTGGGACTCAGCTGTCCTCCGTATATGCTGGAGTCCTGAAGGAAGAAGGCTAGAGTGACAGTGAAGGAATGAAGTCTGGCAGAGGGAGGGCAGGCAGGCGAAGAGCAAGCTCCCTTCTCCTAGATCCGTTTGTAGCCTTCCACAGGTGTGGCCCGGATTAAAGGCCTGTGGCTTCCCTCCTCAAGATCAGGGTTAAAGGTCTGTGTTTTCCTCCCTCAAAGGTCTGGACTAGAAGTAGATTCAACACTTCAAACCAAGGAGGAACTCTCCTCACAGGTGTGCCCTCCACTATTCTGGATCATAGTTTATTCCAGATTTGGTCAAGTTGACAACTAAGAAAAGCTGTAAGCGGTCAAAGGATGACACCTCCATGCATCAGTTTTCTTCTTCTACCATGTGGGTCCCAAGGATTGAATTCTGCTTGTCAGGCTGTGTGTGGGGCAATACCTTCCCCGGCCCGGCCACCCTACTGGTCCCCCTGTGTTCTTGACAAAGTTTTCACACTAGTCTGCAGGAGACATGTGACCTAAAAATACTGTCTCTCGGCCTTTGGCCCATCTTTCCATCCCCTTAACTGTAACATTCAAAGCCTTTTCCCTTTGATAAAGATTTTATTTTTCCTCCATAGAGTTTTACTGTGCAGTCCTGGCTGGTCTAGAACTCCTTATGTAGAGCAGGCTGGCTTCAAATTCAGAGAGCCCTGTCTCTGCCTTCTGAGAACTGGTACTGAAGGGGCAAACCACCACGCTGACGTGTTTGCTACTTAGGTTATGGTTCACTTTAAATTTCTGTGTAAAGTATGAGGTATGAGCCAACATATTATAAGTCTTTTTTTTTTTTTTACTTACATACTGACAGCTCCAGCACCATCATTGAGGAAGTACAAACTACTCCTACAGGTGCAGAGAAGCACTTGACTAGGCGTGTGGCTGGCTGTGCTGGAACATGAAACACCCCAGGTTCTACCTCCAGGGTATGGACGCTGTTGTGGACCTTACTTGTGCAGGTCTATCAACTATCTTACTTGTTTAAGCCTTCCCCCAAACCAGTCTTGGTGAACATAGCTGTGGTGAGCAAATCAGCCACAGGAGACCCTCACGATGTCAGGCCTCTTACCGTTCCTTCACCCGAGGGGAGGGATCTTAAGTAGCATGCCCCCACGCGCCAGTTATTTGGGGAAAGGACACTCCAGTGGTGCAGCTGCCATGAGCCTTCCCCTGTCCCTGCAAGCCCAGGGTCAACAGGAAGACTCAGGGAAAGCCACACTGTAGGAGCTGTAAGGCGTAATGGGGGCTGGAGAGACGGCTTAGAGGTTAAGAGCACTCACTGGCTGCCCTTCCAGAGGACCCTGGTTCGAGCCCCCAGCACACACGTAGTGACTCACAACTATCTGTAACTCTAGTTCTAGGGGATCTGACTCTCTCACATGAACATACCTACCTGCAGGCAAACATCAATGCACATAAAATGCTTCCTGTCAACTCATCACTGCTCAGTGGTACAGACAGCACTTGCCTAGTACACACAAGGCCCTGGGTCTGACCCTGAGACCACTGGGGTTTAGGACAACACCTTGGAGCATGCTGCCTCTCCAGCCATGTCTCACGGCTCACCTTGGAGTGGCGTCACCATAACGTCTCTGTTGAGGGTGAGGGCAAAGCAACAACACTGAGAATCCCAGCAAACACTTAAGGAGAAAACGTCTGCTCTATTAGGAGAGTCCTTCAAGTGTGCTCCTGATGAGTAAGAAGACAGCCAGAGCAGCACAGGCTGTGTAAACATTAGTTTTATTGGGAGAGAGCATGTCACAGCTCCACAGGCTCTTCTGGGAGGGACAGGCAGGCTCACTAGACTCCCATGGTCACAGAAAACAACTGTGACAAGCTGAGCATCCAGCGAAGGGTCCTACAGGACCTGACACTGGAAATGGCCACAAGCACAACCCTCCAGTGCCCCACCCTGAAGGCTGTGGCTCCCAGCTGCTGGGACCTCCCTTCCGAAGGACCTGAGCGAGGTCAGAACCTTAACTAAGAACCAAGTCAATGTTTCCAACCCTTACAGGAGCTCACTTCTGAGGGCCAGGGCGGCAGGGCCTGCCCAGGGTACCCAAGGTCAGCACTACAGCCCTGCTACTGCCAGTTGCTACCATAGGAATTCAAGTCCATATAACCACTGCCAGCACCTACCAAAGGGACAGGGACTGAGGTAGCCCGGGTGTGTGAGTGTGTGTGTGCGCACGCGTGTGCGCACGTGAGAGCGAGCGAGCGAGCGTTTGGCCTGTGTACGGCCTCCTACAGTCGGAGCAGCCTGGGTGGAGGAGACGTGGCCAACATCCCTGGGGAAGCAGGAAGCCTCTGAGGTGGCCCCAGCCATGGACAGACCTCCAGAAAGGTTTGTGCGGGTCTTGGCAGGAGGAAGAGGGAACCAGTCTCGGGCATGGGCATGGCAGGCGTGCAGACACCTTGAGGCACCACTGGCCCTCCTTTCCAGACTCCCACCTTGGCTGGTCACCACTGAGGGCCTGGATGTCTTCTTCAGTGACTGTCTGACCACGGGAGGCCCACACAGGGCTCAGCTGGCTCAGAGGCGCCTTACCACAGCTTCCTAGGTGAAAGAGGGCCCAGAGGGGACAAGAGGGCAGCCAGAGTCACAAGGGCCACTCGTTGATGGACATGCGCCATGAGGCCCTGGGCCCGGAGAGTCACATGTTTAAAAATGCAAAAGCTGATGGCTCTGAAATGGAGGGTTCTGTGGTCGCCTTCTGTGAATCTGGCTGGAGATCCTGGGAGCTGGGGCAGGGCAGGCGGGGGCAGGCCACCAGCTCCATTCCCTCAAACAAAGAGTTGGGGCTCCACAGGCACGGACTGGAGCTGGCCTTGGGGGTGTCTGTGTTCTCTGAGCTCTCCTCAAAGCCCGTCCCCTGTTCACTAGAACATACCAGGTGGGTTTTGGCCTCACCGGCATCCTCCACAGTAGGAGGAACGATATTTGGTGATGGAGCAGGCATAGGGTCCCTGGGTACCACTGTGGTGGAGCTAAGAGGCTGCAGGAAGAGGTGGCTCTCAGGAGGTGGCACAGGGCTGGTCAGCAGATCGGCTGGGCCCACAAGGGCGGCTGCAGAGCTGGGCAGGGCACAGGGCCTTAGGGCAGGGAGCTGTTGTCCACAGGAGGCTTCAAAATGTCTTAGGATCTAGAGGAAAACAAGAAGTAGATAGGAAGGGCATGAGGAGATGCCCGGGGACATGGATGAGACCCTGGCGATGTGACAAGGGAAACTTTCTGGAGAAGGTAGAGTGTGTGTAGGACAAAGTACGGTGAGCCAGACACAGAAGCAGTGTGGGTTGGGGGGGGGGGGGTCCAGGCCGCTGGAAGCGCCCACGGTGGCAGAGCCCAAGGGAGGTGGGCACCACCCACCCACTAAGCAGGGCTGTAGGAGTCACGGCCAGCTAGGGGAGCACTGCCAGGGTGGTGAGTGCTGAGACGGTCACTGCCGTTCCCAGGGCCCACTGCCCACCTTGGTAGCTTTGTTGGCCACAGGTCCCGGGTTGCCTGCACCAAGTTCCTGCAGCTGTTGCCGGCAGAGGAGGAGGACGTGCTCCTGAGGCAGGAGGTCAGCACCCCCAAAAGAGGCAATGGCACACAGTGCCCTCTGTGGGCGGGAAGCAGGGGAGGCCAGAGGTCAGCTCTCCATGCATGGCTCCTCGTAAGGTGGTGAAGGCCACACGGGAGGCCTGCACATGGCCCCACCCTAGTCTGACTTGGCCTTGGATTGGGAGCAGACACCTAACTGCCCTACCCCCCACCCTCCGTGCTCCCCGGGCTGGCCCTGTCTCTGCTCTACCCACTCAGCACCTGCTCCCTCACGCCTCACGCTCATCTCACCATCTGCTCGCACTCACTGGTCCCACCCAGCTGGTGGAGGAGCAGCTCCAGCACAGCCTCACAGTTCAGCAGGCCACACCTGCACAGGGAGGGGACACACAGGACTCACTGGGGACAGCCACAGCTGGCTCCCTCCGCCCTCCCTCAGGGGGCAGGCGCAGGTGGGCCGCTCACTCTTTGATGAAGTGCTGGGTCTCCTCACGGCTCAGGAAGACGCGCGGCCCTTGCGTTACAGTTCTCACTAGGCTCAGCTCTTGCTGGCAATCATTTGGGGCCACGGCCTCAGCCCTGGAAAAAGCAAAACGGTAAAGCCAAGTCAGGGTGTCAAGGTCTCAGGCCGATGGTTGGGACAACACCCCCTGAGCTCCCACACTGAGGGAGGGTGTGGCCTGGAGGTCGGAGGTCCTGCTGACAGCCCCTTTGGGAGAGGTGGTTTGGCAGTTTGAGAGAAAACGGCCCCCAAAGGAAGCGGAATTATTAAGCGTGGCTGTGTTGGAGGAAATGTGTCAGTGTGGTTTTGAGTTCTCATATATGCTCAAGATACTACCCGTGTTTCAGACCACTTCCTGTCGCCTGCAGATGTGGGGCTCTCAGCTACTTCTCCAGCGTCACGTCTGCCTGCGCGCCGTCACGTCCCATCATGATGATAATGGGCTGAAACTCTGAACCGTGAGCCAGCCCTAACTAAATGCTTTCCTTTATAAGAGTTGCCGCGGTCATGGTGTCTCTTCACGGCAAGAGACGTGGGGCCACCCATCCCACACACCTTTCTGTCAGGTCGCCTGGCTCACGGCTGGCCCCAGAGTGGCTGTCGCTGCCAGACCGACTGCCTGAGTCCGAGGCCCTGCTCAGGTTGCTGGTGCAGGAGGAATTCTGGGAACTAGGACCACTGTCCAGCTCATCCCAGCCTCCTCCAGCCTGTCCGGGCTGGTGTCTCACAGCTGAAAGACAGAATAGCAGGCAAGGCCCTAGGGCTTTCCATAGGCCTCATGGTACCTCCTTAGGGACTCCGGGCTAGGAGACAAGAGGTTGAATTCTGAGCTTACTGGGCAGCTCCAGAAACTGCAGACACACAAAATAGGTGAGTGTTCCTGCCAGGTCTAGAAGCCTGGGGCTCCTGCCAGTCAAGGTAGCATTAACATTCGTCTCCACAGCCATAAAGTGCCCCATCCCCTGCCCCAGCACTTGATACCCAGGAATGACCCAGATTCGCAAAACTGGCAATCCTTGCCTCCATACCTCTGGCCCCAAGGATTAGATTCCCAGGGTTGGGGTGTGTGTGGCTAGCTGAGGGTGTCACCGCAGGCTGGTAGGTATCACCACGTGGCAAGACTCCCTGGGTACTGGGATTCTCGGGCCCAGGGCGCACAGCATTAGCCACTACCTCTGCAGCCTTCTGGATCGTAGAGAGGAAGGTTTCACTTGCAGAGCCTGAACACAGAAGAGCGGCATCAGTAGAAGAGGTAGCACCCTAGCCTGCTTCCCCTACCTCGAACCACACTCTCCAGGGCTGGACCAGGGCTGCTGCCTGCTCAGATCTAGGGAGGTAAAGACACCATTGTGGTCTGGACACTCAGCTTACAGCAGCTGAGGCCAAGGCGCGTTCTAGGGGGTTGTGGCAAGTGAAAATGTCCTTGGTCATTCACAAGTGCCTTTGAAGGAGGGGCTTCCAAGTTAAGGCAGCAGTCAGAGGCCCCTGGGCTGCAAAAAGGCCTATTTGCAGCAGGTACAACACAGAGCTAGACACAGCCTGGCTGGCATTCAGCCCCAAGGGTAGCTGAGGTTACTTGCTACAGTATGAGCCGTGTCCAGGCCTCCAATGAACACGCTTCAAGAGTCTGATGGCACAGGGACCCACATACACTACACCACTGTAAATTGCACAGGTGATCCTCTTCCTTCCTGTCACGGCCTGGACCCTTGCCCCTCACGAAGCAAAAAAGGCCAACACAGGCAGTCTACCTTCTCCTCCCTGTCCGTCAGGCAGAGCTGGCCACCCCGTCACACCTTCCTCCCAGCTGGGCAGAGGAAACAGCACAGGGGAGCACCCCAGGAGGGAACGAGCCCACACGGGGTACAGCTGGAGGACAGCCAAGGAGGTGCCGGTGAGGCTGGCCCTGCGCCTTACCCGTCCGGCGCCGCTCCTTCGTGTAGCCGAAGCCCTGGAGAGCACTATGAGGCCTGGCCTGGGCACCCATGCCTAGAAGAGGACAATGGCGTCGGTGCAGACGCCCCCCAGGCCAGCCCACATGCACAAAGACACCTGGGACGCCGAGGGGTCACCAGAGCGGCATACCTGCTGGGGGCAGCGCCTGGGGTGGCTGGCAGGCAGGCAGAGGCACAGCATCGGAGAACAAGGCGCTACCCAGGTCCTAAGTGAAGAAGCGGTGCTCAGGGCCCCTCCCGAGCCGGCCGCTCTGCCCAACCAGGCACAGGGGCTGGGCCCTGCCAGGAGGACAGAGCTGGGTCCCGGGTGGCAGAACAGCAGCACCTCACAGACTTCCTGCCACTCTGTGCTCTGGGCTGTGACCCCTGTCCCAGACTCACCTGGGCCGCCGCCCGCACTTTCTGGTACAAGCTGTTCCCATGAAGAGGGTCGGGGGGTCCTGCGAAAGCTGCAGGGCCAAAGTCAGACGGGACAGGCTGAGCCTGGACACGGCTTATGGCCTCCCAAAGAAAGGGTATGGCTCCCAGCCCCCTCCTCTGGACCTCCACCATCTACCTCCACCATAGCCACCGTGTCTGCCAGGGACCACCCCACCTCCCCCACACACTGGAGTTACGCCTACCTAACTGCTTCCTTGGGTCTGTTCTCTCCACCTACAGGTTTCTCAGGGCCTGGATGTAGACCTGAGGTCTCTATCAGGGCCTTTGATGTCGGATCTAGCCCCTGATTCCTAGGCTGGTTTGGCCTGAGCTAATTTCCCTCCGCTGGAAAGCTTCCATCGTGGAAAATCAGGTTTTCTTATATATCAAGCCACCCCCAAGCTTTCCCTGGCTCAGGGCCTTGCACAATCAGGGAACTATCACAGCACCCCTGTACATTCCATTCTGCCTCACCCTTCCAGGGCCATTCCCCCAGAGACTCCTTAGTGGGCCCCTCCATCACAGAGGCATTCCCATTCACAAGTCCAGTCAGGACCCCGCCCCCCACTTTCCCTGGGCACACCTGTGTCTTCCCATACCTGTGGCTTCCTGGATGAGGGCAGAGTTTCGTCTGAGGGTGAGCAGGAAGGAGGAAGAGCCGTGACCACACAGGTAAAGCAGGATCTTCAGCACCTGGAGAGTGGACAGGTTCATTGGGCCCGCAGCTGTGGTACAGGACACACGGACACACACACACACACACACAGTGCTCTGTAGCCTGGCTCAGGCCAGGCAGGAGCTGAGGCCTGGTCTGCTCCCTGCCACTCAGAGACGCACCTTGAGCTTCACGTGACCAGAGCTGCTGTCCAGACGGTTCAGCAGGTACTCCAGCAGGCACTGGCTGCTGCCCAGCGACTCGTGGGAAATTTCTGGGAGTCATTTGGGTTAGGGAAGGAGTAGGCAGACACAGGACCCACGGTGAGACAAACTCACTCCCCTGTGACCATGACACGTCTCAGGTCACACTCCCTGAAGACCACCACCACAGGCTTTGGCTTCACCAACACTGGAACTTCCCACTGTTTCCCCCACCACCACCACCGATGGAGATGGCGCAGAAGGATACTGGCAATCTCTTCAAACAGGTAGCCTGGACACGGGATGTCATCGTCTGAGGTCCCCTTCAAGAGGATCGGAAGCTAAAGGAAAGAGGATCACGGTGAGCTGCCAACTTAACAGGGTAGTTCCCAGGCACCAAACGGAAATGCCGGCAAACTTCAAGGTCACTAGAGCTAAGAACGCCTACGTGGGGCCAGAGCCACCTGGGCCACAAAGCACAGCTTTAAACAGACTCTGCTCTGGCAGGAGCCAGTGGTTCCGGGAAGGAGGAAGATCTATGAGGGCTCTCTCTAAGAAGGTCAAGATGAGATTCAGCCCCAGCCTCTTACATCAGTTAAGCGTAGAGACGTTTTCAATATACCTACTTATCAAGCAGCAACAGCAAGAACCTCAGGGCTTTCCATGTATTGGATGGGCGTGGTGCCAGACCCCAACGAATGAATCAGAACTGCCCAGCTTGATGGGTTTCGAGGCTCAGGAGTGGCTAACTTAAATTTTATAGAGTCGTGCGCCGGCAGGGTCGTGTTTGCTCATGTTACTACCGGCTTGCCCGTTACTGCAAGCGTATAGTGTTTATTTGGTTGAAATCTAGAAATACCTATCTCTCATCACTCAGTATCTGGGTAAAGGGGTGGGCAGGGTTTGGGAGTATTTGAGACAAGTATGCGGATGCTAGGGTTCCTTCCGCACAGCCTCGCCGTGCTACTTGTCCCCAGTGCCTTGAAGGGGGTCTGGAGGGTGGGAACTGCAGAATTCAGTACTTAAGAACGTGTCCCAGCCTCGCATAAGAGATCTGACCTCCTGTAGCAAGCACGACTCTTAAAAAGGGACCCTAAGGGGCCCCAGCCACTCAGTGCCCTCAAGCGCAGTCAGGAGGCTTAGGGCACTCAGCCGGGGGCAACAGGGTGCGCCTTCTCCACCCGGGAGCTACGGCCTCGCAGAGGCCTCCTGTCCCCGTGAGATGCACACTTTCCAGGATCTCTCTCCGACGTGGAGCCTGGGAGGCCGGGCCCGGGCCCCGCTGGAGATCGCCCGCCGCCCTCAGCAGCTGCCGGGCAGCCTGCCCCCGCCCATCTAGCGAGATCCCGGGGCGCCGGGCGTCACCCACCCTGCGGGCTTCACTCACCCGATGCAGGAAGCTCAAGCGGTCCCGCAGCGGCGGCGCGGCCGCCATGGTCCGAGGAGCCCCTCGGCCTGCCCCGCTTCCGCCAGGCTCCGGCCCTCCAATCATCGCGCTGCTCCGGCTCCCACAGCCAATCGCTCGCGGGGAGGGGCGGGAGCCTCAGCCAATCCAAAGCCCCGGCGAGGGACGGACAAGGACCAGGACCAATTACGGGAGAACAGGCCAGCGACGCTGACCAACCAGGAGACGGTACGGGCGGAGGTGCCGGATGTTCACGCATTCGACGCCGGAAGAGGCCGGACCCAACATGGCGGCGCCCAGCCCACGGGGGCCTGGGAGAAGCGCTCATGTCCGCCAACGGAGCCGTGTGGGGGCGCGTGCGGAGCCGCCTCCGAGCCTTCCCGGACCACCTGGCGGCCTGCGGGGCTGAGGTAAGGGGCGGGCAGGGCCGGAGCTGCAGGGTGGCCGGGGGCGGGGAGGGTGGCGGCTCTGCTTGGGCGGCACTACCCGCGGGTCTCCCCTCAGGCTTCGGCGTACGGCAGGTGTGTGCAGGCCTCCACCGCCCCCGGAGGCCGCCTGAGCAAGGACCTCTGCGTGCGCGAGTTCGAGGCCCTGCGGAGCTGCTTCGCCGCCGCGGTAGGTGTGCGGGCGCGTCGCCGCCTTTGGCCAGCCTTCCTCTCCTCTGCCAGTGAGCTAGCGCCAGGAGCGTCCTGCTAACCCAAGGGCAGCCTGGCCGGGCGACCCCCGCGCCGCTTGCCTCCCGTGTCCCCGCCCGCTGTCGTTGCCCTGCCGCGGCCCTGTGCGTCGCTGTCTCACTTGCCTTCTTGTGAAGACGGCTGGCTCTAGAAAGGCCAGAGACCCGGAGGATTGAGTTGGGCATCCTGGTAAAACCCTGGGGCGATTGTGGAAAGGGTGGGACAGACCATAATGAATATTCCAGAACGAAACGGGCAGGCGCCGCCAGATAAGGGGACTTTGACTGCAGAAGCCTCGGGCCCTTATTCGGGGTAGGAACGCCGCTGCCGGCCCACGGGGGCACGGGGCTGACCTTCGGAATAGCCGTAAGCAGGGAGAGCAGTGTTTGGGGGATCTGACCCTAACCCTTGAGTTCGCTCCAGCCCAGCCGTACCTAGCAGCCCGTGACTACTGCAGGCAGCAGGCGCTGGACTTCTCTCGTCCCTTCTGACTTGACCCCTGCCTTTGGTGTCTTTCCGACCTCCCATCCGTCCCCGAGGGGAAGGGCAGCCAGGCAAGCCTTCCTTCTGTTGTGGTTGGTAGCAGGGAGGTCTTGGTGAACCCCTAGATAGACGCCTAGTGTTCACAGGTTTCTGCGTTCCCTGCTGCCCTTCCCTCTCTGTGGCTGACCAGAAATGTGTGGCTGGCAAGCTGCTGAGACCCTGTCCTGCTCCTTTTCCCGAGCCGGATGGAGGAATCCCGCTGCGATTCCTCGTCCATCCCCGCCCAGCACCTAGGAACCTCCGCTCAGTCACAGGGTCCAGGCTGCCTGTTAGGTGAGCTGGGTCAGGAACCTCCACACACACCTCAACCCTCCGTCGGTTAAGGTGCCTGGAGAATGTGGCATTAAACCGTATCTAATTTGGGAAATAAATGCTTTCTCTTTCAGGCCAAGAAGGCCCTGATGGGAGGCACCTAGGAGAGCTGTGGGCACAGGTGCCATGTACGGCGGCTCTGGGAAGCGCAAGTGTTCACGTTTCTTCTCAGCTGGAACCTTGGGTGGGGCAGTGTGTGAGGATCTGGATTTGATTAAGATGTAGCAGAAGTGAAGATTATTTAATCTGCCACCGTTTCGGGTGTTTATACACAGAGCATGGTGTAAGGAACTCCTCTCCCCAAGAACAGGCATGGCGGCTCACACCCATCTCTAACTCCACTTCCAGGGGATCACCACCTTCTTCTGGCCTCTGTAGGAACCAGACACACATGTGGTACAGACATGAATACATAATATAAAATTAGTTATTTTTCTTTCTGGGACAAGGTTTCTCTATGTAACAGTCCTGACTGTCCTAAGAACTTGCTCTGGCCTCGAACTCACAGAGATCCGCCTGCTTCTGCCTCCTGGGTACTGGGAGTAAAGGTGTGCGCCACCAACGCCCAGCTAAAATTAAACCTTAAAAACAAACAAACAAAAAACCCTGCTGTTCTCCTCAGAAGTATTTTGTCTTAAGTCTGGCTCATCAGGTCCTGGATGCAGATGCTTATGAGAAAAACACACCAACCATAACACAGCTACAACACTAGGGTCGGGACCACTGTAAGAAAGGCGGCTGTCCCGGAGTCGGGCAGAGGTCTCTCTGGACATAAGCCAACAAGGAAGTCCTGCTTGGGACTTTCGGTGAGGGGGACAGCCATCCCTGCATTCTGCCATGGATGATGGCTCCTGGATTTCCTTTCCCTCTTCACTGCAGAGTTTTAAAAAAGCTGAAAGTACTGCAAGAGGTTCCGCGTGTACCAGTGCCACCTGCTGGAAAACATGGGAACTGGGCGGTCCCACTTCAAGGTGTGGAGGTCATGCTGTCCTTGAACCAGTTTGCACCTGTCTCCGAGCCTTGGTACTGGGAATAGGGCCAGAGGCCATCATGTCTGTCACTCTGTGGCATCTGCTACTCTGGAACTGGCCTGGCTTTTGTTTAAATTGAGTGTTTAGGTGTATGTGTGTGCACTGTGTACATGTGGTGGCTAGGGAAGCCCAAAGGAGGTGTTGGGTCCCCCGGAACCGGAGTTGAGATAGTCGTGAGACTCGTGGAGATGCTGGAATTTGAACCTGGGTCTTCTGCAAGGGCTACAAATGCTTTTAACTGCTGAGCCATCTCTCCAGCCTTAGAAACCCTGTGCTAGATCTCTGAGTCCACCTCAAGACATGTCTTTCGGCTATTGCCGAGAGCCAGGTCAGCTAGATTTTGTCCAGTGGACAGTGATGTCGGGTCTCCAGGGACCTGACGGTGTGACTGGGCAGTCCATCCATCCATCCATTCTGCTGATGCCCAGGGACCCTGCTGGGCTGACTCCCCAGCCTGCCACAGCATCTCGAAGCCCTCTTGACAGTTAGACTGTAGCCTCTTCCATCTTCCTCCTGAAGACTTCCAGCTTTGGGCCCCACGCAGCTCGGGCCCCTCAAGCTTGTCTCTTGTCCTCCCTCTGAGCTGGCAGACATCACTGCTTTTCGTGGCTCAGGTCTGCAAACCCAGCAGTCAGGCCTGCAGGGCCCACTCCTCCCATACTGCCATGGTTTCCTACACACAAGTCCTATTCCCATGAACTGTGGCACTGAAGTCTTGGGCCCCAGCTCGTGGTTCTATTTTGGGAGGTTCTAGAACCTTTAGGAAGTAGGTCATTGTGGGCATGCTTTAGTTGGTTTACAAGGAAAGGTTTCTCTGTGTAGTCCTGGTTCTCATGATGTAGACCACAGGGTGGCCTTGAACTCAGAGTTAGACCTGGCTCTGCCTGCTGGAGTGCTGGGATTAAAGGTGCACAGGACCACTTCTTGGCTGTCTGTTGTTCCCTTGATGATTTGAGCTTCACTGTTTCTGCCCTGCTGTTGCCCCCGGAACAGAAGCATGCATCCCGACCTGGTAGAACTGCTACCAAGCATACCTGTCCCATAGCAAAACCATCATGGGCAGGCACCAATTCCCAGCATTCTGTACCAGGTGACCAAACACCCACAGGCAGCAGCTGAATTGGCAGGTGGCTCCCGGGTGCCCCAGCACTTGTGTGGGAACAAGTCCACTGCTGAAGGCCGCTGACAGAAGGTTAGAGGCGGCGGCAGCCAGGAGGAAGAGCTGGGCAGCCAGGAGAAAGAGCTGCGGCAGAGGCAGCCCTGCCCGCTCTCTACAACAGACTCAGCAGATCACAAACACCGAATCAAGGGAGGATTTTCAAGATTATCAAACTGTGTAAAAACCTTAGTCCCAGCAAGGTGATAAAGAGTTCCAATCCAAGAGGATGGCCAGATGGCCTCTAACCACCAAATAGCGATTTTGGAACGGTTTTTTAGTCAGACAGGCTAGGAGGAAGGGAGCTGAGACCTGCCCGTCGCTGGCATATCCCTTCTGTGAGCTACGCTTGGTTCTACCCAGCACAATCGCAGAAGGCCTGTGGAAGCTTTTCTGGTTTTTCAAGCTGTCCAATGGCACCTTTAAAAATTGTAATGAGAGCTGGAGAGATGGCCCAGTGTTTAAGGGCCCTTATTCTCACAGAGGATCCAGGTTTGATTCCCAGCACCCATACAGCAGCTCAAAACCATTCGTAACTCCTGTTGAGGCACCTGACACCACCTTCAGACCTCCAAGGGTACCGCACACATCCGAACAAAACTCACACATTAATAAATCTAAGTTTAAAAAAACATGTAAGGAAGTATTTCAAGAAGTGCTGCGTCATCACACAGTGTGGTGTGGCCTGGTTTACACATGACCCCTTTTCACTCCTGGACCTTCCAAGCTCTTCATGGCAGGGCTTGGGGACGACAAACCAGGTTCTTGTCCCTCAGTATCTCAAGTGCCTAACTTGGCAAGGGGATAACAGAAACATCTTTGCTCAAGGGCAGCACACAGGCGCGTGTCCCCGCTCTGACTGGGACGCGACCCTAACTGCTCTGCTCGCCCTCTGAGCACATGACATCCCAAGGCTCGCCCTGGCCACCAGCCTGTCAATGCTCAACCTGGACAACGGGTCAGCGTGACAGACTAAGCTTCCTGTGGGGCCCCCAACTGTACTCATCCACCTGAGTCCAGTGACGATGGCTAGGGAAGGTACCCCACGATCTCTAGCGCCCCCCTCCCAGTTTGGTACCATCCAGGTTCCTGGTTTCCTTAGGCAAAACAACTCGATTCACGAACGTTAGTGGTGTTTTATTTTGTGTTCCATAATAAATTTCAAAGAATGTGGATGACAGGAAACCAGGAGGGTCATGTAAGCCTCCTGCCCCAAGTCAAGTCATACCCAACCCTGGGCCTCCCTGGGGTGGGGCACGGGGTGCCGACTGCAGGATTCCCACACACGGGGAACAATGGGACAACTGAGCCAGGGTGGAATCTGGTTGTGACAGGTTGTAAGTTAGGTGAGGACCGTGTCCTGCTGTCAGTGCTGCGGCTGGTGAGTGGACAGACGGACGGACAGACGAGACTGCCGATGTGCAGCCGTAGGGTGGGACCCGGCACTGCTTTCCTGGGCTGGCTCAAGGCCAAGGCCCGAACCATACTTGGGCTAGTGGGTGCCTTGGGGCAAGTGACACCACAGAGTGACAACATGTCTGGTTTATACTTCCCCAGCTCATCATGAGGGACTTCGATACCAACCCCTGGGGACATAGAAGGTGGCCTCCAATCAGGGTGTCGCTAGAGAACACCAGGGGCTGTAACATGCCCGTCTCCCTCTTCCTCTAGATCTGCAGGCAACTGTCTGATTTGCCGGCTGTGTACCACCTGTACCGCGGCCCCGGCGGCCTGACGGAGCTGGGTGTCCAGGGCACTGCGGAGATCGTTCACCTGTACGTTAGGTAGGGAGTTAAAGCTGATGATGACTCCGTCCTTCGGAGCCAGCTCCTGCGCTGGAGGAGAGGCCAGGTCCCGCCGCCTCCTGCGGAGGTCTGAGCCCACCTGCACTTTCAGGTCGCGGTTGGGTTTGGCATTCTCAGGCTTCTGACCCTCAGGCACAGCTAGTCTGGGCCCAGAATTAGGACCTGGCCTCTTGGTCTCCTCCATGGCAGCACCCCCATTTCCTCTGTGCTGCCCCTCCGCAGGGATGTGATCCCCTCGGGGGGCCTCGCTTCTTACCTCTGGGTGAGAGTCCTGACCTTTGTCAGGGATGGCCTGGGGCTGGAAGCCTGTATCTGCTGGCCTAGCTGGGACCATGGTGGGCCCTGATTGCCTGGACTTTGTGTGAGAGTCCTCAGCCTCTGCCCCTACCAGGGGCTGGGCAGGCTCTTTTGGAATATTGGCACCCATGGCCACGGCTTCCTTTGCGGCTCCCTTCCTTTCTTGGGAACCTCCACCAAAGGTGTCTAGGTGCTGCCTGCCGACTTCCTCTGCAAACTGCTTCTCTGTACTCTTGGGTGCCCCAGCAGAGTCTGGCTTGGGCACTGGTTCCAAGTCCCCGGGGACCAGGTCCCTCCCAGCTCCAGCCACCTTGAGTGCAGTGCCCTTCTGGCCCTCTCTCAGTTTAGTCTGGGCCCCTTGGGGCCCTGTGTCAGAGCCACCGGCAGGACCGCCAGCACCGTCTCTTCCTGGCACTGCCTTGGCTTTCTCCAGGGGTTGCTGGCCCATCTCTTGGGGTGGAGCAGGGCGATCTCTGGGAGCTCCAGGCAGAGGCTGCAAAGGCTGTGCAGGGTCGCCCTCCACTGTCCCCTCCTCTTGGCCTCTGAGCACTGCCAGCCCAGGCTCTGGCTGCATGTCTGCTGCAAGTGAAGGTGAAGATCAGTTTGGCCAGAGAAATGAACACAAGCTGCTGGTTGGCTGAAAAGACACTTTCAAGCAGTTACGCATCACTAAGAGCTGCAGAGATGGCTCAACAGTAAAGAATGCTTAATGGCTGGGCAGTGGTGGCGCCACACCTTTAATCCCAGCACTTGGGGGGCAGAGGCAGAGGCAGGCGGACCTCTGTGAGTTTGAGACCAGCCTGATCTGCAATGTGAGTTCCAGGACAGCTTCGAAAGCTACACAGAGAAACCCTATCTTGAAAAACAAAACAAACAAGAATGGTTGCTGTTCTTGCTGAAGACCGGAGCAACGTTCCCAGCACCTATTTAGGCGGCTCAGAACTGTCTATAACTCCAGATCTAGGGGATCTATCCCCTTCTAGGCCACACACACATACATAATAAAAATACATAAATCTAAAATACAAGGGATCACTCGTCAAGACCAAAATTCTGCTTCCACCCTGGTGGCCGACAAGTCTCAGATCTACCCCTCCTACCTGGCTTAGCCTTGTCCTCCTCATCCTCCTGCCGCTGCTGTCGAATCTCCTTGTGCTGCTCCTCAATCACAGCCAGCAGCTTCTCCTGCTGGTCCAGGAGGCGCTTCTGCTGCACCTGCTGCTCTTTGATCACCTGCAGCAGCACCGCATGGTCCAGCACCTCTGCCCTCCCAGCTTCTGGGGGAACACAACAATCAGACGCATGCCACAAACGGCGGCAATGCAAACAGCGACCCGCGGGGAGCTGGTACAGCAGTGAGGGCTGAGCTGGTGCTAAAGGGTAAGCCCTACCTAGATGAGCCTCCAGCCAGTCTTCCTGGCCAGCAACAGCGCTGCCTGCCTGCTTTTACCCTAACCCTCGGTGTTCAGACACACTGGCAGATCCAAGCTCCCTGACTGTGGTGGTTGAAAATTAAGAAGGAACGTACCAGAAAGTTAGAGGTTCACTAAGCTGGGTGATTCTCCCGTACTACCTCATTTAATTGTTCTAGGACCAACACAAGAGAAAATAAAACCTAAAAGCTTAAAAAGAAAAAAAGTTTTAATATTTAAAAAAATTTCTTCCAAGATGAGGAGAATCTTGGAAGAAGTCTTCAACGGGATGTGGAACTTGTCACAGTGTCCCAGACATCACATCTGGGGGCAGCCTCAGGAAGGAAGAGAGCTCCACCTCATCGACAGGGAAGGAGGGTCAAGACACAGAACAGCACAGGGAAGTGAAGGCCTTCCTATTTCCTGTGCACATTGGATGTGCCCCACCCTTGTGACACTGGTAGGTGTGGCCCATCCCACCCGGGAGTGCAGCAGGTGCTGGCTGGCCGTTCCCTGCAAGCACATCAGCACCGGGCAGTTACCCACAGCAGGCAGCCAGAGCAAACTCACTGTTACAGCCACACATCTTTAAACTAGGCATCTTTAGGAGATGATGGGTAAAGGACGGCTGTCAGAGCATAAAAATTGTCTTGTGTAGGGGATGGAACACACCTTTGATCCTAGCACACGAAAGACACGGCAAGCAGGTCTCTGTGAGTTAGAGGACAGCCAGGGCTACATAGCTCCCAGATGCAGGACTCACTCACAGGCCCACACCAGTAACTAGCTGAAGCAGTTCAGAGTCAGGGTCCTTGCAGCGGCAGTAATGGATTCCCATGAACACACCCTAGGGCCTCCCCAAACTCCTCAGGAGCCAATGCAAGGAGAGAAGGCAAGCTGGACAGTGGAGAGGACCCTGGGGCTACCATGAAGAGAACAGAATGGCCTACAGGGAGAGAGTTGTCCCTTGCCGATGCTTGGGAAGGAAAAGCCTCACACACAGGGCTCTTCTCCCCAACAGGCCACACCTCACCCTGACTGTACAACCATAGAACTGCCAGCTGTATAAGGACAAAGTTGTACACATTGCTGGCACTTCCCAACCGCGAAAGGCAAGGTTCTAAAAGAGGTACCGTGTCTCATGTATTCCTTAGCAGACTAGCTGCTTGGTTCTGGGAGAGAAAGAAAGGTACCGTGTCCAGCTGAAGCCCCACACAGCAAATGTGAGACGGCATGGTGATGGGCTTTCCCTAGCCAGGACCACCAGGCCCAGGCGTACAGACGGGATGGAAACCCCACACTAGGCAGTGGGATATAAGGACACAACCCACACACAGCATCAGCAGGTACATGCAGCCCCAACCCTGTGTCTAGCTCAGGTGGCACCTGGTTACTTACAGACACCATTCGGCCTGCCTCTGGGGCCAAGGCCACAGGGGCTAAGGAAGAGGGGCCTGGAGTATCAGAGACGCCACCCGGGGCTCTGCTGCATCTGGAGGGTGCCACTCCTTGGGACTGACACATGTTCATGCAGGGCCCTCACGGGTGGAGTATGCCACCTAGGTGCTGTTCCCACACTTCAGAGCCTCCACACACATGCTTCGCTTGCAGCGCAGTCCTGAGCCATACCTGCTACTAGCTTTTTAATCTCAGCTGTCCATCCCATTGAGAGGCATATGGAAGAGAGGCACAATAGGGAATAATGAAAAGTCTCTTCTTCAGAAAGAAAAAAACAAAGAATCAAACATATTTAAGTGAGAGATCACAGAAAGCGGAACCAACAGATACAGCCAGACTAAAACCAGAGAGAAACATAGCAAGTGTGGGGGTGTTTCCTAAGCAATTTGTAAGCGCCAGCAAAGCAGACGGAACCCTGAGCTCTGCCTTCCAGGCCCGCACTGGGACGGTCCACCCGGAACAGCCCCACCGCAGCTGCTCAAGTCTGGCTTCAGAGCTGAGTGAGAAGCAAACCCGGGATCTTTTCACGCTCACTTCCTTCCTGGTGTGTATGAGCATGCGAGGCAAGCCTGGTCCAGACGTGTCCTGGGCAGTGCTGGGAGTTTGGTCCAGAAGAGCCAAGCAGCCCATTGCCTGCTCCTCACCCCAGACCAGGTGGTCTCACACCACACTCACGCCACACTTCAGCTGGGCTCCGCCTTGACATGGGGACCAAATGGGTGGTGATTGGAAGCTTCTGGGAGGACCACCACCACCTTCTGCACACAGAAACCACTGGATCGACCATACAAAGTCAAAATGGACATGGGAGTTTGGAGAACTCAGGGCAAGCCAGCCACAGCAAACTTCAAATGCCAGTGCAGGCATTTACTTCAGGTGTGACAGGGACAAGGTCAGGTGCTGACCACTAACGAATGCACAGCTTTCAGGTGAGTCTTCACACTGGAGTCCGAAGGCCTCACTCCTAGCTGGCTTTGCAAATCCTGAGTATGGAAAATAGCAGCATACGTGCTTAAAAGCCATGCAACTATGTGACACTTTTTTTAGGGGAAAGAAGGAGGTAAAAACGGCCCTCGAGAGGTGGCAGAGGAAAGCTCCTGGTGTGCCTCCCTGTCACAAAAACCATGAACAGGAATTGTGGAGCAGGAGGGGTCCAGGAGCACCCAACCCACCCAGCCTCATGCAGGGCTCCTTCTGAGGGGCGGTGGCAGGCTCACCTTCCAGCTTGCTCCCCGCCTGGTCTCCACCTGGCCTCTCAGCCTCTTTCTGCTCCCTCTCCTCTGCAGGCTCCGGCCTTTGTGCAGGGAGGCCCGCCTTCCCACCTGCACACAGGGAGACTCAGCTGGTTTGTTGAAAAGTCAAAAAGTCAGGGGTGGGGTGAGGGGCAGGCAGGTGTTTCCTGGAATGACTCCATAGCGAGCCACCCTCAGCACAGTTCATATTCAACCTGATGATTACCAGGGAAGTAATAAAAAAAAAAAAAATATTTAACAATCTCACAGGCTGATGGCAGTGAGCCAATGTTAACTACCTTCACCAATTAAAATGCAAGCACCGTCCTAACCGGCTCTTAGACGGGCATGTAACAATGTGCTACCTGTCAAGCGCTCCTGCACTGTCCCCCGTGTGCACCCACACACACCACAACAGCATGGCACCTGACACTTAGTGGTCTGGCAAACAAGTGCGTGACAGACATTACAGAAGCTGTCAGACCACCAGGCTCTTCTTCGCTCACCAGCTGCTGAAGGGGCTGCCACACTCACGTGCTCATCTTGTGAAATGAGAGCTGGGGACTGAGGAGGCCTAACCTGTTCCTGCTGTCCCCAGCAAGGGAGTCTCCCCGGGGTAACCTCCCAGGAGGCTGACACTCACCAATGTTGCTCTCCAGGTCAGTGTCCGCGGGCTTCCACAGGGAACCTCCAGCCTTCTGCGCAGCCTCCTTGCTGTCACCTGCCACCAACGCATTCTGCTCCACGGAGAGCCTGGACTGGGGGACCGGATGCAGATCTCCATTGTCTGGTATGGACTCTTCCTTCCTGGGCTGGACAGGTGGCTGACCGTTTGCTTCTGGAACCTTCTGAGGGTGTTCGACTTCCCCTGCTGCCAGGGCTTGCTCGGGTCTCTTTGCTTCCTCCCCCCTCTCAGGTTCCTGCTTCCTCTCTGGCTCGGGTGGAGGTGGTGCCACCTGCCCCTTGTCGCCAGGGTCTCCTTCATCTGTGAGCCTGGGAGGTGGCTTTTTCTCCTCGGGCCCCTCTTGGTCTTGACCCTCATCCACCACCACTTTGTCATGAGGAATGGGAGGCTCATGGCGGTGGGCCTCGCCCACAGGGACAGCAATCCCTGCAAGGACACAAGGACAGCTTGACGTCAGGCTGAAGAGGAGCCCCACTTTACCTTCCCAGGGAATCTGAGTTGGCCTCTGGGCTCCCAGCCCTGTGACATGGGTCAGTCCTCAGATTCCTCCACAGCCATCTGAGGACTGGCAAGTCTCCCACAATGGACAGTTGCCTTGGCTGAGCGAAAGGCAGAGCACGGGTCTGGGTGAGGGAAGACACAGGGCAGCTGAAGCCTTTCTCCACCATGGCAGCCGGGGCAGCTCAGCCACTTACCTTGACCGGGGCGATCCAGCTGCGCAGCCTCCTGCTTTTCCTTAGGGGCCTCCCCTCCGGGCACATCTACAGGACCCTTAATCTGGGCCTGCTCCAGCACCTCTCTGTCCTCTGGTGGCTTTGGCTTCTCCTGGCTATCCTCAGCAGCAACCACAGCGGGATCCTGGACTGCAAGCACAGTGAGCCATCAGCAACCAGGACACGCTGGGTCATTCATTCTAAGGTCAGGAGCACACAGCAAAGCCAAATGGCAGAGTGGAGGTGGGTTTATTCCCGTTCAGTCATTATTACCAGCTAAGCAGCAAAGAAATGACTTTTTCATTCATAGTTTTAAAAACATCAAAATTCGGTTTGTAACTATAGGCAGATGGCCACTCTATGCAGTACCTGTCCACAACCACCAGGTGACAGTATGAGCACACAGCCAGGCAATGTCCTTAGGGTCTCCCAGCAGGGACCAAGCTGCCTGCACTAATGTCTAGACAGAGGCCTTTAAAGAAATGAGTACACTGGATGTGGTTGGGCAGGCCTGTCAACCTCTTGTTGTTGATAAAGGAAATTCACACCACAGGATAAGAACAAAAGGAGAGGCTGCCAAAGTCGCCCTTTGTATGCCACAAATGCATGGGATCCGCGTTCCATCAATAACAGTAGGTCACAGAACTGGAGAAAACCAGCTTTGAGGGCTGGGGCTCTAGCTCAGTTGGGAGCCTCATAGGCCCTGGTCAGGGCTCCATCTCAACTAGGCACAGCATCACCCTAGCACTTTGGAGGTGGACTCAGGGACATTTTAAATTCAAGGCCATCCTCAGCTACACAAGGGTCTGGGGCCAGCCTGGGCTACATGAGATCCTATCTCAAAAAACAAAACAAGCTGTCAGTGGTGGCGCATGCTTTTAGTCCTAGCACTTGGGGGGCAGAGGCAGGCAGATCTCTGTGATTTCAAGGCCAGCCTGATCTACAGAGCAACCCTGTCTAGAAAAACAAACAAATGGAAAAAGAAAGAAAGAAAGAAGACAGACAGGTGCTGCTGGCTTCCCCGATGGTTAGCGAGCGCGTCAAGCTTCAGACAACACGTGACCACGTGTACACAGTCCTCTGTTCTGCTTCCCCAAACTCAAATGTCAATTTGGCCATACGTCTGACTAACCCAGGACGGCTTTCCTCATTGTCCTCTCCCGAGGGAGGTGACCCTACCATGTCCCTCTTCTGACTGGTCACTATGCAGCACACACACCTCTGGGTTTCTGTTGTTTGTCTCTGCGTAACAGCCCTGACCGTCCTAGAAGTCACCTGTAGAGTGTCCTCAAACCCAAAGATCCAACTGCCCCTGCCCCCCAAGGCCTGGGACTGGAGGTATGTGTCACCTCCACCCAGCAAGCAGCACCTTCTTAACGGGCAAGGAGCTCACTGGTTCTTGGGGAGCAGCCTGGGCTCCCCTGTGCTACCAAGTGGCTCAGGCTGATGGAATAAAGCAGCCTTCATCACAAGATAGCCCATAAGCAGGGGGTGACACAGACACTCCCCTGCCCAGAGCACAGTCTACCCTGAGCAGTGAGGGCAGCCTGCTGCTCCCTGCTGCAGTCCTGGGGAAGTCCCACGAGGCAGCACAGCACAGGGTGAGTGACCCGCAGCTACGCTGAAGCTCATCTGGGAGGCCTCGGAAGAACGCCATGCCTGTCTGTATTCTAGAACAGAGACTGGACTGACAGGCAGGGGCTGTGGAGACTTTCTAGCCTGTGCTACCGGCAGCCGAGCCCCACCAGCAGTGGGCATGATCTCCATCAGGGTTGGAGACTGACAATGCCTTCAACCACAACAAAACGAACTCTCAAAGCTATCAGCTGAGGACGCCTGTGCAATCTGCTTCCAAGTCCAAGGTAGAAACAGTGCGGTGGTGACAGTCTCACCCACACCACAGGCCAAGTGACAACTCAGGAGCAAAGGCCTGGTGTGGCTCCAAGGAAACACCCAGTGCTCAATGGGGAGGCAACACCCTGGCCACAGACCCTCACATTCTGTAGGCTATCCCCTGTAGTCACCTGGCCTGCTGATGGCACTAGGAACTGGACCCAGCAAAGCCCATGTATGGGCTGCTGACACCTCACATACAGGAATGGACCAGCGAGGTGACAAGGCCCAGGTTCACCGGGCGGTGGTTCTCCCCTAGGGGTCAGACAGGAGCACCGAGGGTCCAGTCCTCTCGGAGACAACCTCTACCTGTGCACCTGACTACGGGGCCTGAGCCGCTGCCACCTCAAGACACTTGGAGCTGGGCAGCAGCTCTGCTGGCCGCTGGCTTCATTTGCCCTCCCTGGAAGTCTCCTTGTCCATAGAGATGGGAATGTTCACCCCAGGTGCTGAAACGTTGGCCTCTGGGTGAGCCCCCGTGGTGCAAGGGCAGCCCCCTTCCTCCCCCCCAGGGACTTCAAGGAAAGAAGAGAAACGGCCGAACACGTCTGAAAGTCACGCTGTTCCGCAGGCTTCAGCGAGGAAGGTCTGACTTCTGGCCTTAGCTGGACGGCCTGCCCCACAGCTGGCCTTCCCAATGTGGCTCTCACCATAAGGCTGGGCTGCTCGCCCGGACAGCACCGAGGAACCTTGGTGGCATCAGCAAGGAAGTGTCCTGTCTTCATTCTGGGTTCTTCCTCAGACAGGTGTGTGTGGTGAGTGACCACAGACCCAGTGCCCTCAGACCTGAGGCAGACCAGCAGCTACTCTAGGAGCGCCTCTAAGCCAGCAGGGCCCATGAACACCTCCTCCCCAGGGGAAGCCAGTGAAATGGGCCCACTGCTATCTCCTGGAACACCAGCAGAAAAACCGAACAAGATCAGAGTAGGAACAAGGGGCACAAGGGAGAGGGGACAGGACCCCCGCCAAGGAGAGGCGCACGGCAGCAGGGTCTCTCCTGACCACCACTACCAAAGGGGGCAGGCCCTGTCACCACCACAAGAAGAGAAGGAGCCAGAGCACCGCAAAATCCAAATCCGTCCCCAGGACCATCTAGGGACCCATCGGGCACAGAGGAGAATGGCCCAATTAGACTTTTTAAAAGGGTAACTGTCTTCTTGAGCTTTCACGGGGACTCAGACAGGCCCAGAAGGCCAAGCATGGGGGCCCAGGCTGCACCTGATGGTCACATGTGCCACGCTTGAGGGTAGACAGTCACGGCGCATGCCGGGCTCTCACCAGAGCAAGCAGATTCTGTGACCCCACAACATCAAAGAGACCAATAAGCAGGCTCTCAGACCCTTTCGGTGCAGCTGAGAAGCAGAGAAGGTCCTGAGTCCCAGCTTTGCCCAGATGAGGCAAGCCCTCAATTAAGCGAGAGGCTGGGTGGCTGGAAAACAGAACTAGCTAAAAACAGACGGCATGTGGTTCTGAGAGGAGCCACGTGTGTTGTTATAGCCTTGCAGAGAAATGGAAACCAGATGTGGCCTCGGAGACCACAGGTGAGCAGGCGGCCCGTACATACTGTAGGGTTGGGACACAGCTGCTGGCTATGACTAGAGGCTGCACAGCGCTCACAGGGCCTGTGTATGAACTTAAGTGAAAACCTCCATACTGGCCCGGAGACAGAACTGTGCCGGGTTCTGCTGGGCTGACCTCAGGGTACACAGGGCCATGACGTGCTTGCGACCCACAGCAAGAACCCACACTCAGCTCGGCTCACCAGGACACCACCCTCGCCACCACACACCTCTTCTCTTCCGTTCCCATGCCAACACCCGTCCCCTGCCTGGTGGCATGGGCAGCTGCATCAGGCTGGCTGTCCCGGACGGAACTGTCCATTAGCTTCGGAGGGCACAGATGTGCACCTCCTCCCTCAAGCGGACTTCTTCCCACTCCAAGTTGCCACACAACACACCCTGCGGCTTCTCGACACCCCATCCCCATCCCCATCCTCTGAGAGCCCCAGCTGCCCCCAGCATCCCCTAGTGACCTCGTCTGCTACTTTGCCTCTTGATTCCTGGGCTCTTCTCTGCCTCTGTCAATCAAGAAGGTAGACTAGCACACCCACAGCTACTTCCAAGCCCTGGGCTGAATGAAGAGGATGCCCCAGAAAAGCACCTTGGGGCAGCTACCAAGGGACAGGCGACAACATGTAGGCCATCATCTCCACATCAGCCTGAAATTGCCATGTTTCCCAAGAGCCAGAGCTAGACAAATGTTTCATAACTCTGGACCCAATCTCACTGACTTTTAGTCTAACTATGACACCCCACCACTGAAAGAGACAGAAGGCCAGAATTAATGTGATGCAAGGCAGTATCCAGCACATGCCCACACCTGCTGCCACTCACAGCTACTAGGCAGGCACAGGCCCTCAGTCCGATGGCCAACACTGGCCCCGTGTTCCCCTTACCAGCCATACCCAGAAAGGCCTGGGGGTACATCAACCACCCCAAACAGACATACACACAGAGTGACACCCTGAAAACACACATCCCATAGCTGCCCCCTCCCATCCCTGCTGCGGCATGGCCACAGACGGATCTGGGGTGATGGGGTACCACCAAGACCCTCGCTGAGGCAGCCTGCCCTGTGTGGTGAATTTGTAATTACACCAAGCGAGAAAAACATGCAAAAGCAAACAAAGCTGAGCTACACTAGTTGGCTTTGTCAAGGGGAGCACTGGCTCCAATTTACATCCTCAGAGCAAAACAAAAAGCAGATGTGGGCAATACCCATAAAGTTACATACCTTTTAGTGTCCACAATGGCCAGGTATGGAGATCTGAGCCCATGCTGACACTGGGCCATCCCCCACCTGGCACACTGACAGCCTCCATGTAGAGAGCAAACCTTCACGGCAAGGAGTTGGTGGGGCCCAAGGCTAGAACCTCCACTAACTCATAGGACAGAGGCTATCAAGAGAGAAGCAAAATCCTTGAAGCAAAATAAGGGGTCTCTTGGAAAGCACCACCATGACCCTGAGTTGATGCTGTGGACACTCATACCAAGAACGCTCAGGGGGTTTGCATATACCTGACAGCCGGGCCGCCTCCACTTTAATCCCGCCCTCGGTATCTCGACGACCACTTCGAGCTTCTTGTGCCAAGTCCAGAGGGGCGTCTTCGCTCACAGACAGGGTCGTGAGTGTGCTGACCACCAGGACTCCCAGGCCGACCCAGAGCACCACCTGGACCAAAGACCCCAAGACAGGAGGCATGGTGACTGTCCCTGTACCCAAGACAGGAGGCGTGGTGACTTCCAGCATCAGCCTCTCCAGAGTGTTTGTTAGAGGTGCACCACAAGGTCACGCTGGGGTCAAGTTTCTCGACTACTGTGGCAGAGAACCAAGCATCTCTGGGTAACTACGCAACTCGGAGTGGCCCCTTGTGCAGTCATTATTTAGGACCACAAAGGGAAGGTGTGCAGGGAATTTGGGTCAAACTGGCTGCACATCCTGCCATCATATTACCCATACAATGTCAGGTAACAGCTGGACACACCTGAGCTGGCAAGGTGAAACTCTGCTGGGCTAAACAAGAATATGTATGGTCACCTCATCTGAGGTGGGGGGAAACAGACAGGTCCCCAGAGCTGTATACATCTGACATGCTGCTGACTTCCCTGGGGCCTTTCCCCCGGACGGCTCTCCCACTGCTAAGTTCTGTGCTACAAGCCCTCTCCATGCCACCCAGACACCGCCTGAGCCACCTCTCCACTGTGTCTGGGATGACCCCAGTACAGGTAGGTACTGCTATGTCTGATTTGGCCTGGCCTCCTCAAGCTTCCTGAGAGGCAGTAGCTCCTGGTTCCACAGTTCTGTGAGAGGAAATATCTACGTGCCCTCTTGCCTGGCCAAAGGGCCTTTATTGGTTCCCTGCCTTGATGTCTAAGAGCCAAAACTCAAAAAGCGTTTCTGAATAGCTTTTGACTCATAAAGATGTATGTGTACATGTATGGTATGTGTGAGTGTCCACGCATGTGTGTGTGTGTGTGTGTGTGTGTGTGTGTGTGTGTGTGTGTGTGTGTGTGTATGTAGCACATGCATGCCTGGTACCTGCGGGAGACCAAAAAAAGGTGCCAGATAGCTCTGGACTGAACTTATAAGCAATTATGAGCCACCAGGGAATGTAACCTGGGTCCTCTCTAAGAGCAGCAAGTATTTTTAACCATTGAACCATCTCTCCAGTCCTGACCTTCTCTTCAAAAATATGTAAAATCAGCACCAAACAAGGGTGATGGTGGCACACACCTTTAGTCCCAGCACTCAAGAGGCAGAGGCAGGCAGATCTCTGTGAGTTTGAGGCCACCCTGGTCTACAGCATGAGTTCCAGGACAGCCAGGGCTACACAGAGAAACTCTGTTTCAAAAAAAAAAAAAAAAAAAAACAACCAACCAACCAACCAAACAAAAACAAAAAACATCAGCTCCAAAGAGCTGGGAGACGTCCCCAGGTCCATCCAGTACAATCACAGAAGACCGAGTTCCATGGGAACAGCCCATGTGTGGCCAGACACCTCAGAAGGCTGGAGCCTGGTGTGCATCACGAAAGTGTGGGGTCCTTTAGGAAGCCCTGATCCTTCTGGCAGGAACTGTGGCTAGCCAGTGTGCCAGAGTATGCATAGGGATGCTATCATGCCTGTACCCTTTATGTCAGTACATATGTCCCACATCACTCCGGTCCAGGGCCCCTGGCCCCCATCACACCCTAAGCCCTTCCTTAAGCTCTGCAGAAGCCCAACTTCCTCAAATTCAGCATCTAAGACCTTCTCATGAGGAAGGAAAGAGTCGGGGAACAATGCTTATGAGAGCAGGGGCATCTGTTCCCCAAGGAGGAAGTGGCGAGAGCCAGCAACATGGCTGGCAGACGACGGCTCAGAACCGAGACTGTCACAGCGGGTGAACTTTGGAAATTCATTAGGGCCTTGATGACCCCTGCTGTGCCCTCATGGCCCATTTTGAACCAACCCTCTGTTTTTAAGGCTCCTGTCCCCTAGTCATGGTAGGGAACAGAAACCAGGCTCTGGATACAAAGGCCTGAGGATCCACATGGAGGTTTAAATCACCCACTGGGGGACCTAGAGAGGCTTCACCCTGCGGTCCGCAGACCCAGCAAGCCCTTCTCAGTGTGGGCAGACACTAACTCTTGCAGTAACAGAGCCGGCCTTCCAGGCTGTCATCTAACCCAGTTCAATGCATCTGTGCTTCTCCAGCTGACAGCAGAAGCCACAGGACAAAGCACTTCTCCCTAAATGCACTTCCCACCCCCCAGGGGAGAAGGCCTCGAAGACCCTAGTGAGTGGGATGGAAGACAAAGGCTGCTCTGCCATTGTGGAATCAGACTTCCTGTTGAAAACAGCCCGGGGGACTACACAGGCCCTGGTGTTCTGCCCCCTATGAACCCAGTGAGGTAGGCTCTCCTAAATGCTCTGAACCAAAGATAAAGACATTTGTTGGTCATTTTATGTCAGTTATATTCAACGGGGATTATCATTCACCAATCCCATGGAGACCTCAAGGAAGGCAGTGTTTCATCCGGGACTTTGATTTATTTTAACCTTCAGGAAAAAAAAAAAAAAAATCATCCACAAGATAAGAAATGTTAACTCTGCTGATTCGGGCAGACAAGCTCCCTGAAAAACTCCCATTAAAGGCCGGGTGTGGTGTCTCATGCCTTTAGTCCTGGCATTTGGGAAGGTGGAGGCAGGTGGATCTCTGTGGGTTCAAGGCCAGCCTGGTCTACAGAATGAGTTCCAGAGTTCCAAGACAGGTTCCAAGCTACACAGAGTAACCCTGTCTCTAAAGACTGAGAAGAAAGAGAGAGGAGAAAGAGAGAGGGGAGAGAGAGAGAGAGAGAGACCCCAATTACGATCTGCCTTGGAAAAGGAGTTCACATTACGAAGTTTTCAAGACAGAGTGGAGCCGACAAGAGGCCCCCAACCCCGACTTGCCCTCCACTTCCTGAGTGCAGCTGGGGAAGCCAGCTCAGACCAGACAGACACACTGACAAAGGCAGTAAGTAGCAAGTTCCACAATTACACAGGGACTGTCCAGTGAGGGCAGCTGTGTAGTGTATTCCAGCCACATCTGTTGGGCCCAAACAGACTCAGCTCACTTGGTGCTTGAAGGACCTCCCACCTCAAGGTATCCACAATTCCCTTTCTGAAGAAAGATGCTGGCTCCTGTACCCCGGAGCACACGCCAACAGGATGCACAATCAAACCGTCTCTTGAGATTGGGGAGCCAGGCTCCGCATGTCTGCTGGACACCACACACGCACACCCAGCTGATGGTCTCTGGCCTGTCCATGCTGAGCTTGTACTCGTCCTGACAGATGAAACTGTAAGCTGTTGGCTCTCTGGGCACCGGCCTGTCTGTGCCACTGCTGGCCAGCTCCGCCTCAGCCACTGTCATGCACACACCCTGTCCTCTGAAGCAGCAGCAAGACCCCAGGGGAGAGCTCCAGAAGGAGTCGAAGGAACAACAAGCAAGGCTAAAGACATGAGACTGTCTTCTCTCCTGTGGTGACAGCCTTAGCATGAGTGCACCTATCAGCAAACTCCTACCAGAGCCACAGCCAGAGCAGAACATACCCAAGACAGCACTCAGTGCTGCTGACCACAGGCACGAGGCTTCTGACAGTGAATGCAACCAAGCATGAACTAACTTCCTGGGGTAGTGTGGGGCCAGAGATCCCGGGTTCTCCCGGAATTGCCCGAGGTTGAGGGTCAGTGTCCCCTGACTGCCAACCATGTGCCATGCAGTGGTAATAGCTCCTTTGGAGTCCGAGCAAGGAATCCCAGCCCTGCCTTCTAACAGTCAGCTTCGAGGAAGGCTAGAAAGTTAGGGAGGGGCACCCATCCCAGAGCTGCCTCAGGCCCAGGAGAAGCCCAGCGTGGCCTCTGGGTCAGCCTAGCCCCCAGCACTGTGCCGCAGCTCCCTGCACCGGAAGAGCTGCTTTTGAAGCGGGGATCTTGGTCGATAAGCAGGATCCGGTGTGGCAGACATCTGATTTCAGAGCACCCTGCTGACGACAATCCTGGCACGGATCCATCTTAATGTTGTCCAGAGCCAGCCAGGAGGAGAAACACAAACCCACCCCCTACAGTTCAGCTCAGGCTTGGGAAATTCAGGGGTCTGACCAAGGCCACAGTCCACAAACATCCTATAGCCCCTCCCCCAGCTGCCCAAGGCTGCAGCCCCAGGTCTGGACAGACAGAGAATGCACCTTTCTGTACTGGATAAAAATTTCAGAGACTGAACACACACCCGAGGCCAGGCTGCAGCTACCCTGCCTGTCACGCACCTCACCAGGGCGGACAGTATGGGTGCGTGGGCCAGCCTCAGGCAGCCTCCAGGACAGAAGCTGACCTGCTGCCGGCTCACTGCACAAGTGCACCACGCACACCTGCCCAAGGTCGGCTGCTTCCAGGAGCAGCAGGCAGTCCGCATGCTGCTCCCCTGTGGCTCCAGCACCCCCTGCTGGTTTCACAGTGGAAGAGGACAAGGCCACCCAGCCACATTCAGGACTAGGAACAAAAATCAGCTCCTGGGTGAGGACGGGTTTCTTTGTTGTTGTCCACTGGGGCCACTGTCATGCTTTCTAATTAGTCTTACTTCAGCCACCTTCACACCAGCTGCTCAGCAGGGACAGACTCCTCTGGCTCCTCGTGAGGTCCCTGAGCACAGAGCAAATCTTGCACCAGTCAAATGCTCAGCTGAGTTGAGGGGCTGCCTCAGCTAGTCCTTTCTGCAGGAGCAGCTGGAGTCCCCGGGACAGGGTCCAGCTCCCAGAAGGGTCTCAGACCCATCCACACCCCCAGAGTGTGTCCTTCCCAGTGTGGAAGCCATGACACACCCTGCTCAGCAGACGACGGCCTATCTGAAGAGCACAAGGCTGTGTGGTGGGTTCAGGCCAGAGCTCAGCATCTTCCTACCGCAGTCAGAAAGGTCAGATGTTCGCCATCCTGTCCTAAGAAACAAGTCAAACAGGCACAGATCAAGCCTTGGCATGATGCAGTGTGCTTACAACTGTAGCGCACCGCGCTGTGACCATGCTTGCCCATTCCTGTACATGAACTCAAGGCTAGCCAACAAAGGCAGTCCCTGCTGAGTGAGGACAGCACTCAACTGCACACGCCCACCACATGCGCCATGACATACACAGACAAAGGAAACGGAAATGCAGTG